CACAAAAAAAATAAAAAACACACTTTTTTTGGGGATATTAGATTTTTGGAGGGGGGGGGGGGGGGGGGGGGGGGGGAGATTTGATTCAGTTGTCATGGCCTTGCAAAGCTATTCATCATTCTTTCATGCTACAACCAAAATTCTGCATAACTGCAAAGTGGAGAAGAAATAAAAACAGAAACGTTTGCTTGCATTTCTATTCAGCCCTCTGAGTCAGTCATTTGAGGAGTCAATGTTCAATGCAGTCACATCTGAAAGTCTTATTGGTTTTGTCTCTGCATGCATGCATATCAGAAACTTTTACCCATTCTTCTTGGTTAAAGCTCATTAAGTCAGGGCAGTAAGTTTCTGTCTGGCAATTTTCAAGTCTGGGCAAATTTTCTGTGTCGTTGTAGCTGAAGAATATATACACCACATTGATGTTCTGGGTGTATTTAGGGACAGTGTCCTGCTAGAAAGTGAACATGTGCCCTACTCAAGTATTTTATTGAGCTCTAACAAGGTTTCCTTCAGGACTGCCCTGTATTTAGCTCCACCTAAGTTAGGTTTAATAGTTCATGGTTTTTAATTAACAATTATTTTCCCAGTTCAGTATCCACATGTGTTTTTTTTTTTTTTAAGGATCAGAGGTGGTAGTTGCACTATTTCCCCCTTTTCACAGATACATGTACATGTACATACACATGTACAGAATTAATCACTTTTAGATCAATTTAATTTACAGATTAGATGACTTCTGAAGACAGTGATTTTTATTTGAGGGAGCGTGATTAAATGGGACCGAACACAAATGCAAATCGGTTAAAAAAGAAAAAGAAAAATAGTTTAAAGCCACACATCCTTTTCCTTCCACTTCCCAGTAATGCCCTTCATGTGAAATCCCAATTGAATAAGTTGGAGTTTCTGGTTGTAACATGACATAATGTGAAAAACTACAGCTCTTTACCTTACTTTTTTTTTTTTTTTGTAAGTCACTTTATGTAATAGACTATGGTGTAAGTGGAAGATGGGTCTTATGTTTTTTATTATTATGACATCTCAGTCTGTAAAACAGTTTTGAGCTAAACTGTTTCAGAATATATTCTTAAACCAGAATTTGGCCAGTCCAAACTCATATTCTGCAGAATATAGTTTTGACCGACTGAGATTTTATTTTTGAAGTGATGCTATTGGAGACGAGAGAGGCGTCAGTGTTTGTTCACCGTCACTGGCATTCTTGAGCACACTGGACAATTAGAAAATATATATCGTGTTTAAAATGATTGATATTAGTGTGAGATATTTAATCAATCAAGATTGCGTCACTAACTTGATTAAAAGCTTCGAATTCTGCTTTTAACAAGCGTCCAGTTGAACATAACCTGGGTTAGTGTTCTTCTACTTTATCGTTACTTTATCACACACTAGCATGCAACACGTGAGTGCAGTTTGCTAATGTGGTGAATACAATCTCTTTTAGTGCACACAAGGTCACTATTCAGAAGCAGGCTGTGGGTTCCTTTTGTGTTCATCAGAATGGATATCCACAGTCGTGGCTATAGTAGAGTACAATGCAGAGATTTTCTTCCTGTTGGAAGAGTGTCCTTGTTGAAAGTAATTATACTATAATAATAATTCCATACTTTCACCTTTTATTGGAGCTGCATAATCTCACTTTGAAAAATCTAACCTTAAATTCAAAATACATGTATTCGGTGCGGGGGCGGGGGATCCCCATAAGAAGTAATTGCTTTCTACAAAATCGACCGGTGGCACAATTACGGACGCCTCTGCTGTCAATTTTTATAACCCTCTTCACTGCAGGATTCTTCTGTCATGTTTTAGGTTTGAAGAGGACCAAAGCTCAGAGATAGAAAGTGGTCAAATGCAGTACCTTAATAAAACAATGAGAACTTGCAGAGAATAACACGGGGCCTGCAGGTCAAGCAACACAGGTAGAAAACAGAAGACTGTAACGAAAGGATCCAGTATAAACTAGTGAAAACATCCCGAGGCAGGGCTAAAACAAAGAAACAAACAACAAAAGGACGAAGGAACCAACACGACTAATCAGTTTTATACTAGTAGAACTGTTTTGTGGTAGTTGGGGTAAAGTGTGCATCGCCTGTTGGTTTCTTCACAGTCTTTTCTTACAGATATGTACTGTGCCATTAACAAAAGGAAACAGGTTTCTGAATGAATAAATGATGAGCCCACCTGGTACTCTCATGCCCTATCATCTCACCACAGACCCAGTCATGTGCGCAGGAATTGGGATCTTATATTCTTCATGAGTGTTTTATGACAGCAAGAAGCATTTGGATACAATCTTGGTCAAACAGCGATAGAAAAAAAAAAAAAAAGCCTAAATAAAGAGCAATCATTGCCTCATTGTGCACATGACTGGTACATGCAATGTTACCGAAAACTGTTGCTCATATTTACCCGTGTCTCACTTTGTCTGTCTGTTTGTGTGTGTGTGTGTGTGTGTTTGTGTGTTTCAGAGGCCAAGCAGAGACCGTACTACGCCGACTACTCTCCTCTGCGCCTGACCATCCACACTCTGTGCACAAGCCACTACCTGGATCTCTTCATCACCTTCATCATTTGTATCAATGTCTTCACAATGAGCATCGAGCACTACAATCAGCCGCAGGTAACGTGGCTGACTACCCTGTGGCATATTTGCTTTAAGTAACAAAATCTCGATAAATCTTAAATAACTAAATTTTCCCCCAAACCCCCATTGCTCTTTTTCTATTTTCAAAGAGAGAATAAATGTTTCAAAAATCCCAGGCTGCTTTAATAAATATCTGTTCATTTTAATTTCAAAGGAATGTTCACTTTCTTAAACCGTACTCTCTTTATCATTTTTGCCATAGCTAAATAGTTAACTTGAACAGTAATATCTAAGCTCCTTATAATGCTGTCCTTTAAGATACTAAGTAAATGTGTTCAAGTATCATAGAAGCTGGTAGCTGGGGTTCTTTAACAATCTAGGCATCTCACATAATCTAAGTGAAAATCTGTGAAGGGGGCTAAAAATCAGAGCGACAGCAAGGAAATGTCCATGGATCTCATAATCAAAGATTTTTCAAATTTTCAAAGCGATATTTGAATAAAACATACTTTTGAAATGGCACCGCTCTTACATTGTTTTATCTTCTAAAAGATTAACATCTTATTACCCATCTGGAATAAACTCTCTGGTTGAATAAGCATTATTTTAAAGCCGCATCTTTCTGGGGTTCGAATCGTTTTAGGTTGTTCCTGCATTTTAAAATCTACTATCCTTAATGATGTGTGAAAGCCATATCCGATCAGTGCGTGAGAGCTCTCCTTCTCATGTTTGTGTCTGTGTTCCTGCAGTACCTGGAGGAGGTTCTGAAGTACTGCAACTACGTGTTCACCATTATCTTTGTCATCGAGGCTCTGCTCAAACTCGTGGCCTTCGGCTTCCATCGGTTCTTCAAAGACAGGTACAACAGACCACGAGTGCAAATGTGAAACACTTTCACGTGCACTGAACACCAAATCCATTCCTCCATCCGCCGTGTGTGACAGGTAGTTAGAAAAATTTATATTATCCCAGTATTTTAACATGGTCTGTTGGCTTTGGGTTTAGTAACGTAGACTCAACATGGTCGGTGAGTGTGTCCAACTTGTCTAAGGGCTAAAATATCCTGTTTTCTCCCCCGAAGAGATAAGTGGGTGGTCTACCCATTAATTTAAATGCCTGGCTCACTGTTTACGATCAGCACTCTGGCAGAACTAATATTAGGTCTGTTTCCCATCCTCTTGTTCTTCTTTTAGCTCTGTAAATATTGAAGGAAGTAAAGTTAATTACTTTGTTTGTCCTCTCATGTCAGACATTATCAACTTGGGGTCATCGCCACCCGAAGGAAGGCACCAAAGATTACAGGCTGGGGAGGGTTTTCTCTTTTACAGAGGCCGCCGGAGTTAGTTTTGAACATGAGAAACGTAGCACAGTTAATGCATAGGCTTGGATTCAGAAGCAAACATCAGTGTCACAAAGATGGGATGGCCTTTCAGGACAAAGACTGAGCTTATCTTTTGGAAATTCCTGCCTGGTGAACTGAAGCTGTAGTTTGCTGGAAACAAGTACTTTCCTGAAGTTTAATGATTTTTTTTTAGCTGTATGATATGCTAGGACATGTCTCTGGAAGCTCCCTCCACTCTTTTGTTTGTAAGGATTTCAGTTTTCATTTGCCACAAGTCGTTTTGTGACTTCACTGTTAGTCTCTTGGTGGCATTGAAATGAATTTGAACTTTTGTTTAGGTGGAATCAGCTGGATGTTGGAATAGTTGCCTTGTCCATTATGGGAATCACTCTGGAAGAGCTGAAAATGAAAGCTGCGTTGCCAATAAATCCTACCATCATCCGAATCATGAGAGTACTGCGCATTGCACGAGGTAAACAAACACACACACACACTCACAAACAAAATAACCAAGCTTGTGTATTTTTTTTTTTTATATCTACGTATTAATTTAAATGTTTTGAAAAGTCATTATTTCCTCTCTGAAATTCAATCATATCCTATATGACAGGACAACTATTTCTTTAGTGGTGTATAACAAATAGGACATTTTTATGACGTTATAAATTGCTCTGCAAAAAAAAGCTGGCTAAAACTTGCAATAAAAAAAACTACTTTAAACCTTTTTATGCGTCTCCTGCAGTCTTAAAACTTCTGAAGATGGCAAAGGGAATGAGAGCTCTCCTGGACACTGTCATGCAAGCACTGCCGCAGGTAAACAAGGACTCTTATTAGGGCTCAACCACTGTAACATAGCATGTTTTAATTGCATATCTTGCAGACTGACAATGAAAACGGCGCCGTCTTTCAAACAGGCTCTATAACCAGGTCTCCACATTTTTGCTCCGTCTTACTCTGCAGTTTGTTAGCATAACGGAAGAGAGAGGAGAAGGACATTGCATTTCTCTTATCACGAGCTGCAAGAACACAGTGTTTGTATCTGCGAGCAGCTTTATTCAAAGTCTGTTTAATCTCCATTTTGAGCAGGTGTTGGCTGCTCTATTTGCAAAACATGTCAAACAGCAAAGAATTTATATTCTGGGAAGACTCTTTTTTTTTTTTTTTTTTTTTTTTTTTTTAGTGGGGTCTCGCCATAAATGAAGTCAAAAATGTTTCAGACACACTAAGTTAAAACAAAAAACAAACAAAAAAACATTGACATAAATCTAAATCCTTGTATTCCCCGGAGTTTCAAACGAGCAATATTTACACTGCCGCGCTCCTTTGCGTAGAGGGGAGGGGAGTCTAACATGTGTATCACTTCCAGGTGGGAAATCTTGGTCTCCTCTTCATGTTGCTCTTCTTCATCTATGCTGCCCTGGGAGTGGAACTCTTCGGCAAACTGGGTCAGTCACACACACACACACACACACACACACACACACCACACACATCAGCCGGAAAAAACAGCGCACACACTAGACTCAGTGCTTCAGCGAAAAGTGGTTTGAGATTCACTTATTGTTCCCGCGCTCACAGCTTAAAGCGAATTTTCCTGCCTGAGTCGTTTTTGTTGCTTCTCACTGTAACCCCTATCTGTCTCCCTGCCGCTCTGTTTTATTTATTTATTTATTTATTTTTTTTTTTTTATGAGAGGGGGCCGGGGGGGTTCACTCCGAGGGAACAAACCGTTTGCATGATCATGTTTATTTTCCCGTCGCTCTCCTGACGAGCCTGCAACGTCCAGCTCATTTTCTGCGAAAGGATTAGCCACATCAGGCATCTGGGAAGACGAAACAGAAACAACTTGCTGATGAGAGCGTTTGCTTTCTGGGAAATGTCATTATACCTCCTGCTGCATGTGCCAGAGGAAAGTAATGTGTTTTCATAATGCAAAAAATATCCAGCTTTCTTTTTTTGTTTTTGTTGTTGTTGTTGCTGCTTACTGTGATTCTTACATTGCCAAGAGTGCTGAGAAAAGCTGTTTGTTTTGTATGGATGCCTCTGACTTTTCTACAAAATATCTTTTGCTTTGGAAACACTGAGATAGAGAACATGGAGGTAGAGACAGGTTTAAAAAGTGGAACCCAAAAAACCCAAAAAACCTTGGATGTATTTTGTTGTCACCCCTGTTAAAGAAATTTACGCAAGACTTGAAGTGAATTTTTATGGGGACTTGATGACCCCAATTATACCATCCATTGTTTAGTTGACAGTGTAATTAAGAATTTGTTCCTTTTTTTTTTTTTTTACCTACCCTGTAATACTGTGCGTGGTAGCAGGACAAGTTCAGCTTTGTTTTTCACATTTCGGTTTTCCCCTCTTCAAATATTGCAATTATTTCAATTTTGTTGCCTTATTGAGATCGACACATACCTTCTGCATTTGCTTGAGACGCTCATTTTGTCGTGTTTTTTTACACCAGGTAAGCAGGAAGTAATGGATAAAGACTCTGATCAGTTTAAAAGTCTAGATTATAAAAATGCCTCTTGTATAGTAATTGCAGTGGTAACAATGTGGAAAACTCCCACCAACACACTGAACGAAATTCAATGTCAGGTTGTGCTAACCCTGTGGCATTGAGTGTATTTTAAAGCTATTTACGCAATTTTATCAAGTGGGCCAGCACCAGTATAGGTCACAAATATTTACAGAGGGAAATATGCATATCATTACAGAGGGAAAAATGCATTAATGGACAAATTAATGCATTTCCTACTCTCCTGTTGCAGCTAGTTGTGCTACAGTTTTAGTGCTAGTTTGTGAACAGGGGAGAACCAGTAAATATTCGGAATTCAAATTCAAAAAGACTTTACTGATCCCGATGGGGAAATTAAATATTGTTGCAACTCATATTAATTCAAAATCCGTCAAAGACTTGTGGTAGATGGTTCTGATATATATTTGGATTATGGGTTCTGATTGGTTATTTTCATAATCACCCCTTTAGAGAACAGTGTGAGTACTTGCATCTTCAGTAATAAAATAAATTAAGCTTCCTATTGCAGCTACTTGCACTGTAACACTAGTCGTAGCTCGTAAACGAACAGGAAAAACGTTTTTTTCTACTATATGAGAGTTCTACTTCCTGTTAGCACCTTCACAAAGGGAAATGAAATCAAAACTTGTTGCAGCTATTTGAGCAAAGTTACTATAAAGGAAAAGTTCAGTGTATTTTATTCACCCACCACAGGGGAAAGTTGCAGCCATTGAAGCCCAGAACAGCCTAAATGCTAATAACTAGTGAAAGGCGGAGTATTACCTGTGGATGTTGAGGAGTCTTGTCTCTGACAGCAGGTGTGCAGATGAGGTGGCGTTACAGGGGAAACGACTCGGTGTTTACATGCTTGTATTGGCATGTATGGCTCAGCGCTCCAGCAAAGCTATTTTTAGCACACCAGATACCAAAGCTATTTCGTTTTGATCCTCAAAACTAAAACTAATTAATAATCTCTTTTGATCTACACCCAGATGAATCACCATCTCTGACGCTGTCCTCATGCCGCCTGGATACGAGTCAGACACAGAAAGGGAAGGGAGGGTCTCTCTTTCTGCCAGAGAAATTACTGATTAAATCTAAAAATGACATTCTGGGTGTCTTCCATCTCTTCCAGAGACACCACAAATGGTTATATTGGAAAAAAAAAAAAAAACTGAACTGTCTGAGTGAAGCCGGATTCCATTTCCCTATTATGCAAAACTGCCTCAATCAGTTCCTCTGAGCTGAAGTGTGACATTGTTAAATCCTCTCCCTTTTCTCTTGTTAACTGATATGGGAAAAAAAAAAGAAAAGAGAGAGAGACGCGTCATACACGGTGGACAGCCTCGGTCTTCCTCAGCTGCCTGTTCGTGATACCCAAATTTAAAGCAGCTAAAGATATCTTTTGGGTTTTAATTTTGCACAATTGCTCCTCGGGGCGTTCGCTCGGAACTGGCTCAAAGATTTCCATGTCCACTGCAAATAATTATTTTTCACTGCTCTGCCATGTTCACATGCCTAGAAGCTCTCTTTTCAGAGTACTCTTCCTTTTTTTTTTCTTTTTTTTTTGTATGTAACTAAATCATTAGAGTTTCTAAATGGGACATTGGCAATTATATATCAATGTTCCTGAAAACAAAATCCACTAATGATCAAAGATTGGTTCCTTTAAAGCACCAGATGGTTTGCTATGCATAACGTAAAACAACAACAAGTCTGGGTTTTTTTTAAAAATAAAATCACATATATTTTGTCCCTGTGGGAAAATCCTTCCATGTCTCGCTCGGCCATTTTTTTATTTTTTTTTTTTCTGCTGCCCAGCACTTGTAGGGGGTTTATTTTGAGCTGGTCTGCCTCAAATAAAGCTTTCTGACTGATTTAAAATTAGCCCGAATGTTCCAAACATGTGAGAACATGGCAGACGTGGGGAATCAAGTCTGCAACATGGACTTCAGTTACACCAAAGATTTGGACTGGACTTAGACTCGCGCTTCTAATGACTTGAGATTCGACTCCGATTCAGAGTCTGAGACTCAAATCTTCCGAGTAATCTCTGAAAGTAAGCTTGCATGTGTTAAATATTTAAGTAGAGGATTAATGCTTTGCATTACTGTAATGAATACTGATGAATGGTTGCTATGGTAACGCTGTGCACAGGGTTTGTGCTCTACATGTGACAAAGCTGGTATGTTTCTCAACAGGGAAGGAGTTTAGAGGCACCTTTTAATTTGGAGTTTGTTTTTTTTTTTGTTTTTTTGTTTTTTGTTTGTTTTATTACATCAAGTGGTAGAAAGTATGTGAGCTGCCATAGTTTTCCTGTCAAAGGGTGCGTTTGGCTCACAACAACCTGTTCATGCTAGCTTTATGGTAATGATGGTATGGATATTTAGCTAACTGAATTCTGCTCTAAAAGACTATTTTATATCAAGCTAATCTTCAACATCCTATTCTAAAAATCTCTTAACAAATATTAAAAATCTTGTTTAATCTAATTGATTAAAATGAATCTCTTTCAGTTCAGAGCAGTTGATAAAAGTATTTTTTTTACACGTTTAATTGAGGGGTCTGCTAAATCATAGTGATTTATGCTCAAACAGAGTAGACTGGTTGTATCCTATGTTGGAGAATTAATTTCAATTTCAACTAGAGATTTTGTACTTGGTAAATAAAAACAAAACAACAAAAAAAAAAAAACAAACTTGTTTTTCTCTGGAATATTTTCAACATTTTTGTTGAAAATAAAGCGTAATTTATCAACAATGTTGATAGAGTTAACACTTTGAGTGCTTTTTTTTTTTTTTTTTTTTTTTTGGGAGGGGGAGGGTACTGATGTGTAAATAATGCCAAAATATGTTTTCCTTCTGTTGTTTAGAATGCAGCGACAGCAACCCGTGTGAGGGGCTGAGCCGTCACGCAACGTTTGAGAATTTTGGGATGGCCTTCCTCACGCTGTTTCGAGTTTCCACAGGAGACAACTGGAATGGGATTATGAAAGTATGAACAAAGACACACACACACACACACACACACACACACACGCAAACTGAAAACAAAGACTGTCATACTTGATGACTAGATTATCGGAAACCACGGAGAGAACGCTGACCTCTAAAACCAATTATGTGGAAGTAAAGTAGCTTAGCATGGCAATGTCAACGCTAACATTTTCATTTTTACCTTATTGAAAATGGCTTGTAAAATAGTTAGTTTTTCAACAAAAGGTCCTTTGTTAAATGTATTTGACAACACACTGGAAATATGTAAATTGTAAAAAAAAATTAAAAGTGAGTTTCTTCAAGAGTGAGGTCTGGAAAAAAAATCTTGATATTTTTTGTTTATCTTAAAATTTGTTAAAAGTTGAACTTTGTGGATTTTGAAGTGGTAAAAGTACTTTGAAATGATCTTGTTCTGTTGCTACAAAGTTTATAGGATGTATTTTTAAAAGAGGATGACATACACTCTTTTCAGGCAAATCGGTTTAGTGCTAGAAAACAAAATAAAATCTTTAACTTTCATTTTATCGCAAATGAGGCAATAAAAAAAATGTTTTGATGGCAAAGGAAAATATTTATTGACTAGCACATTCCAATTGTGAGAATAAAACTGTAACAATTGTACTTTTATAGTCCAAATTTAGTGTCACTATAAAATGTATCCAATCCTGAAACAGATGTTTGTGCATTGTGATGGCAGATTAAAGAAAAAGGGGAATGAGGAGCGACTTTTATTAAAACTTAGATCGTTGTCTCAACATTTAATAATATTGTTGCTTTTGCATGACTGGCGCTCTATAGATAAACTGAACTGATTGCCTAATATTATACTCCACACGCTCTAATGTAATTTAAAATGAAACGTGCAGTAGATTATTTTTTTCGGTTAATTATCTTTTTGGATATTTTGGCGAATCGCAGTCAAAGTAGTTTTATTGTCCGACTTATTTTCTTGTCGCAGTATTTGTTGAATCAAGTCATAGCTGTTTTGATCTTATTTTAGTAAAAACGTCTCTTTCCATCACGCTCCTCCTGACCTTACTGCCGCTCTCTAAATGCAGCCTCTAGGAGAAGGCTTTCACATGGCTTTGGTGTAAATTGTTACCTCTAAATTTGTGTTGTTTTCTCTTTAGCTGACCTGTACGGTTAGTTCAGTAGTTGGACCAATTCGAGACACCATCTAGGAGAAGGAAAAAATAAGCAGTTGAGAAGCAAGTTAGACAGAAACTAGACACTGCTAAATATCGCTTTTAAACTGAATAGAATTGTCAGTAATGGATCATTAATCAATTTAAGACTGCATTTATGTTACTCTCTTCCCAAACTGGACATTTTGTCTCTACATGTAGCAGCTTTTATACTCCTTATAGCAGTGGCAAATCTCCACCTCCCTCCGCCCCTCGACCCCCACAGCTCCAGCCAATTAGAATGCAGGAAATTATGTAAGCTTCTGGAGCAGGATAAGCTTCTGTGCATTTAGCAGGAAGCTCATCTCCCTATTCTCAGCAGCGGGCACGTGACGACTATTCAACACATGGGGGCGCCAAATCCCCATTTACAGCACAGCATTCCAGTACTTGTTCAGGAAACAGCTGTTGGGTAACTGCTCATATGGCTCTTTATCCTTTTTAAAATCTTAGAATGCATTTTCCACGAGTTGACAGGTGCAATATAAAGTAATAAAACCTTTTTGAAAAGCAACTCTTCCTTTTTTCTTAACATGATGAGCTTTGCAAACTGTGTGTTGACAAAAAAAAAATCTCTTCCTCTGACAACTTTGTTTTACTCCCAAATGATGACAATATTAATAATAATGACAATATGACAACTTTTCAGCCAGTGATAAAAGAGCTGAACTAAACTATAAGAAATACCAAATCAACTTATTTGCCTCCAAAACAGATTTGATCTTTCAGAGCTATAGGCATTTTTTTTTAAACCTCAGGACAAAATTGGGAGTAATTATTGGTTTAAAAACATTAAATTCATGTGTGTCATCATGGTGATTGATCAAATTGTTTATAATACACGTTTATTTTACCCAGGTTATATTTACAAGACACAAAAACCAGGCATGTGTTGTAAACTTGTACATTTTCTCATATTTTTCATAAGTTTCTAAAGGTTTCCTGTTGTGTCACCTTTTGAGTTCTTATATATATTTCTTTCATTTTAGATCTGTGCGTCTCTTTGTATTTTGGTTGGTGTTTGCATGTCTAAATCGTACACTTGGTTTCTTAAAGGACACTTTAAGGGATTGCCAGCCAGAAGAAATCCACTGTTTGTCTTACCTACCCTGGGTGTCTCCAATTTACTTTGTCACCTTCGTGCTCATGGCCCAGTTTGTTTTGGTCAACGTGGTGGTGGCTGTTTTAATGAAACACCTGGAGGAGAGCAACAAGGTACGGTCACAGAAAACAATAAATAGCGTGGCGGTGTAAAAAAAACGTAAACGCGTGCGTGTGTGATAAAATACCACGCACTTAGCAACAAGTGTCTCATTCTAGCTTTCGACGGGCCTGAAAACCGGTTGCAAAATGTAACCGGTTTTACATTTTGCAGGAGGCCAAAGAGGACGCAGAGATGGATGCAGAAATTGCACTGGAAATGGAAGTGGAGAGGCAGCGCAGACAAAGCACCGGATCCAACAACAGCTCAGTGGGAGGAACTTATATTGGGCCATGCCCAAATTCACCTGAACAGGTCAGAGGTCAACTGCGTTTGCTAGCAGAGTATTGTCGTAAAATAACATCACAAGCATGAACTGAAGAATTTACTAATTGATTCTAACAGGTTGTGACAGTTTGTCTTATGAAGCCGAGTGTGGCGCGCGAATGAACCGTGTGGTGTTTGTCGCCCTCTGTAGGAGGAAGAACAGCAGTGCAACGACCAGGACCTGCTGTCTTCAGGCAAGATGTCCGTATCCAGGATGCACTCTCTGCCAAATGACAGCTATATGTTTCAACCTGTACGACCTGCTAGCGCCCCCTACCCTTTAAAGGAGGTAGATGCTAGTTCCCAGCACCAGCATGCGGGTGAGTTAATTGAAACCTCCAAATAATAATAAGAGAGACATTTAAATGAGAGCTAAGCTGTGAATACTCAAGATTTAACGCCAGTATTAGTTGTTTCAAAATCGTTACATAACATCATGGGTGTGTTGTCTTTCTAGAATGAGTTTTTCCTGTAAACAGCCAAAATAGCAGTAAAAAAAAAAAAAAAAAAAAGGGGGACACTTTTTAAGGCACTGACAAAAACTGTTTCATCTGCAGTCAGACTCTAAAGGCATGTTGTGACCCGGCTGTGGGCAGACCGAGCTCTGTCCCAAGGTAGTGACTGCAGCGGATGAGTTGATCCATGTGAATCTCTGCAACTTTCACACAGGCTCATCTGCTCAGCTTCTAAATGGCTGGAAACCTAAAAGGCGACTACGGTTAACTTTCAGGACAAGCTGGAAAGTCACAAAAACCGTATGCGCCAAAAAAAAAAAAAAAAAAAAAAAAGAATTGGAGAAAGGGTACACGGGGGTTTTGTAAATCAC